AAAAAAAAAAAAAAAAAAAGACAAAAGAAAGAAATTCCTCAAAATTAAAAACCACTGGCCAGGTGTGGTGGCTCATGCCTGTAATCCCAGAACTTTGGGAGGCCAAGGTGGGCAGATCACGAGGTCAGGAGTTCGAGATCAGCCTGGCCAACATAGTGAAACCCCATTGCTACTAAAAATATAAAAAATTAGCTGAGTGCGGTGGCAGGCACCTGTAATCCCATCTACTCAGGAGGCTGAGACAGGAGAATTGGTTGAACCCGAGAGACGGAGGTTGCAGTGAGCCGAGATAGCACCACTGCACTCCAGCCTGGGCAACAAGAGCGAAACTCCGTCTCAAAAATAAATAAATAAATAAATAATAAAATAAAACAAAACAGCTCATCAAAAGACATTTAACAAGTAAAAAAGGGGGCCGGGCACAGTGACTCACACCTGTAATCCCAACACCTTGGGAGGCTGAGGCAGGTGGATCACCTGAGGTCAGGAGTTTGAGACCAGCCTGGCTAACATAGTGAAACCATGTCTCTACTAAAAATACAAAAAGTAGCTGGGTGTGGTGGCACGTGACTGTAATCCCAGCTACTTAAGAGGCTGAGACAGGAGAACTGCTTGAACTCAGGAGGCGGAGGTTGCAGTGAGCCAAGATCACACCACTGCATTCCAGCCCGGGCGACAGAGCAAGACTCTGTTTCAAAAAAAAAAAAAAAAAGAGGGCCGGGCACGGTGGCTCAAGCCTGTAATCCCAGCACTTTGGGAGGCCGAGACGGGTGGATCACGAGGTCAGGAGATCGAGACCATCCTGGCGAACACGGTGAAACCCCGTCTCTACTAAAACATACAAAAAACTAGCTGGGCGAGGTGGCGGGCGCCTGTAGTCCCAGCTACTCGGGAGGCTGAGGCAGGAGAATGGCGTAAACCCGGGAGGCGGAGCTTGCAGTGAGCTGAGATCCGGCCACTGCACCCCAGCCTGGGTGACAGAGCAAGACTCCGTCTCAAAAAAAAGTAAAAAAAAAGTAAAAAAGGGGCCAGGCACAGTGGCTCACTCCTGTAATCCCAGAACTTTGAGAAGGCCAAGGCGGGCAGATGGCTTGAATCCAGGAGTTTGAGGCCAGCCTGGGCAACATGGCAAAACCTCGTCTCTACAAAAAAATACAAAAATTGGCCAGACTCGGTGGCTCACGCCTGTAATCCCAGCACTTTGGGAGGCCGAGGCGGGTGGATCACCTGAGGTCGGGAGTTTGAGACCAGCCTGACCAACCAACATGGAGAAACCCTGTCTCTACTAAAAACACAAAACTACCTGGGCGTGGTGGCGCATGCCTGTAATCCCAGCTACTAGGGAGGCTGAGGCAGGAGAATCACATGAACCCAGGAGGCAGAGGCTGCGGTGAGCTGAGGTCACTCCTGCCTGGGCAACAAGAGCAAAACTCTGTCTCAGAGGAAAAAATACAAATATTAGCCCAGCATGGTGGCATGTGCCTGTAGCCCCAGCTACTTGTGAGGCTGAGGTAGCAGGATCGCTTGAGCTCAGGAGGTCAAGGTTGCAGTGAGGTGAGATCGTGCCACAGAACTGCAGCCCGGGTACAAAGTGAGCTCTTTTCTCAAAAATCAAATAAAATAGTGATTTCAAAATATACATATTTCCTAGCTCTATTCCTAACAAGGCCTAGAAGCCATGGCTCTCCAACAGGAACAAGCATGCTAGCTCTGTCCTGTCTCTACACACAACTCCCAATTAGAAGGAACCGGAACTTCTTGGAGGAATGGCCAAGACTGTTTCTATTAGAAATTTCTGTTTCCATTGGGGCTAAAGCTAAAGCAGGGAAAGTTCAAAGTGGGGCTAAAACATTTTATTGTATCAGAAAGCATGGAAGTTCTCAAAATGTGAAGAGGGGAGGTACAAAGGTTATTTAATAAAGGACTGTCTTGGCCAGGCGTGGCAGCTCAAGTCTGTAATCCCAGCCTCGGTGACAAGAGCAAAACTCTGTCTCAAAAGGAAAAAAAAAAAAGGACTGTCTCTTCAATAAACAGTGCAGGCACAATCAGACATCCAAATACAAAAAAAAAAAAAAAGTCCCTTATGTCATAGTACATATGAAAACTAACTTGAATCATAAACCTAAATTTAAGAGCTAAAACTAAAATTTCTAAGGAAAATGACTTTAGGTTAGCCAAACATATCTTAGCACACAAAAATCTGATGGCCAGGCGTGGTGGCCCACGCCTGTAATCCCAGCACTTTGGGAGGCCGAGGCGGGCGGATCACGAGGTGAGGAAATGGAGACCATCCTGGCTAACATGGTGAAACCCCGTGTCTACTAAAAATACAAAAAAAAAAGAAATAAACCGGGCGTGGTGGCGAGCGCCTGTAGTCCCAGCTATTCGGGAGGCTGAAGCAGGAGAATCACTTGAACCTAGGAGGCACTTGAATCCTGAGGTAGGAGAATGGCGTGAACCCAGGAGTGGAGGTTGCAGTGAGCCGAGATTGCGCCACTGCACTCCAGCCCGGGGAACAGAGCAAGACTCCGTCTCAAAAAAAAAAAAAAAAAAAAAAAAGGACAAACTACACCTCACCAAAATTCAGTACTTCCGCTCTTTGAAAGTCACTTAAAATCAAATGACAAGCCACAGACTTAGAGAAAATATCTGCAAAATACTTATCTGAGAAAAAACCTGAATTTAGAATATATATAGAACCTCCAAAACTCAGTAATAAAAAGACACTCAAAAAAACTGACAAGACACGAACCTACATTTCATCAAAGAAAATAGTAAAATAAAAACATGAAAAGAAGCTCAGTATTGCTAGTCTTTATGGAGACATATAAATTAAAACCACAAGATACTACTGTCCACCTGCTAGAATGACTAAAAAAATTATTATTTTTTTTTGAGACGGAGTCTCACTCTGTCCACCCAGGCTGGAATGCAGTGGTGCGATCTCGGCTCACTGCAACCTCTGCCTCCTGGGTTCAAGCAATTCTCCTCCGTCAGCCTCCCAAGTACCTGGGACTACAGGTGCGCACAACCATGCCCAGCTAATTGTTGTATTTTTTGTAGAGAAGGAGTTACACCATGTTGGCCAGGCTGGAATGACTAAAATTTAAAAGCTGACAATACCCAAGTGTTGGTGAGGATGTAAAGCAACTAAAACTCTCTCATATAGTGCAGGTAAAGTGCACAACGATACATGTGGTTTAGAAAACAGTTTGGCAACTTTTTTTTTTTTAAACAAAGTCTCGCTCTGTTGCCCAGGCTGGAGTGCAGTGGCATGATCTCGGTTCAGCACCGCAACCTTTAACTCCCATGTTCAAGTGAATTCTCATGCCTCAGTCTCCTGAGTAGTTGGGATTACAGGCACATGCCACCATGCCTGACTAATATTTTTATTTTCGCTAGAGACGAGGTTTCACTTTGTTGGCCAGGCTGGTCTCGAAATCCTGATCTCAAGTGATCCGCCCACCTTGGCTTCCCAAAGTGCAGGGATTACAGGCTTGAGCCCATGAACCCAGACAACTTCTTACAAAGATATTTATTTATCATGTAACTCAGCAAATC